ATAGTTTTTTTATTTATGATATTTAAAAATTATTCTCTAATTATGAAACTTTTTCTTTATCATCTGCATATAAATATTTTTCTCTCATATTTAAGTTATGGCTTTTCTAGTTATTATTTTCTTTTTAAATAGTTATTGACTATTCTTTTAGTTTTCATCCTTTAGTTTATTTAATGAAATTGATTATTTATTTTATTTTATATTAGTTAGATTTTCCAAGTTCTTTAAAATTATATTTTATTGAATTAAATTGATTATTTTTATTTATTTAATAAAAAATTAGTTTTATTTATTTAGAGAAGTAAAGCAGTTTATATAATAATATTTTAATTTATTTGACTTTGAACTTTTATTTATTTATAGAATAAAAATTTATTTAAATAGCTTACTCTTTTAGTTATAAACGTATTTTCTAAATTTAAAAAAATATTTTATATAATAAATTAGTGATTTAATTTTGTATTACGGATTTTCTAAATTTAAAAATATTTATATATATATAATTATATCGATATTATCTAAATCATTGTAAATACAATAAAAAATAAAAATACTCTAATACTTAATTAAAAATTTATTATTATGTACTTATTTGTATTAATAATAATTAAATATTATTTTATTAATTATTATATTAGGAATAACTATTTTTTTTTAGTACAAAAAATTAAAACATATAATAATATATTAAATTAATTTATTAGTATATTTTTAAAATTAAATTACTTATATTTTTATTTCTTAATAAAAATATTTTAAATATCTAACTCTTCATTTTCAAAGATAATTACTTTAAGAAAAAAAAAATTAAAAAAAAAATCTAAAATTAAATTTAGTAAAATGGAATAAAGTATAAATTTTTTATATTAAAATAATTAATAAATGGTTTATAATAAATTAAAGCATAAAACTTTTTTTTACAAACTCTAAGTTATTAATTAAATAATAAATAGGTAGGTCAGAAAGCTCATAAAAGCGTAAATATAGTTCTTCAAACAGTTCAAAGTAAATAAATATAAAATATATTAATATAAATGTAATAAATTATTTATTTAATTACAGATCAGACAATAGAAAAGCATATAAGGGTTAATTCATAAATATATTTCAGCAGAAAATATGAAAAATAAAATTAATTTTTTTAAAAAATAGAAAAAAATAGTAGAAGCAGATCTAAAAGTAAATCAGAAGGTCGTAAAACTAAAAGGTAAAACTAAAAAAATTTTTATTTATCCTAATTAATATTAATAATAAATAGTAAATATTACCCATATATATATTATAATTAATTATATGCAATTTAATATAAAAATAAAATCTTAAGAAAATGATAGACACAATAAATTTAATAGATCAACTTCTAGAAGTCCCCGTAAAATAAATATATATATATATATAAACGAATTATATTTATAAAAAATATAAATAGCTAGAAAACCAAATAATCAATTTAACTAAAAAAATAAGATATAATATTCCTATGCTTGACGGGCCTTTAGTCAATTTTAGATAATTTATGGAATTATAAGTAATTTGTTTTTTTTCAATTGAATAAATATATAAATATTATTTTAAAAAATATTTTAACAAATTAGACTGATAGAGTATATACGCATAAAGCTGAAACTCATTATCAGTATTATAAAAAATAATGGGAAAAACGACAAAATGAAATATTCCATAAAGAACATCAGGTTATTAATTTATAATTTTATTTTTGTTTTTAGTTTTTAAAATAATATATTATTATATAATGTTTTTTTGTATTATCGATGCAAAATTTTTAAATAAGGATGAAGAGTGGTTTAAAGAAAAATATGATCCATTTGTTAGTGAAATTGTTTTGAATGAAAGACAATAAGAAATTTAAAAAATAGCTGAATCTTTTTTTAATGATTATAAAAATAATTTATTTGATTCTATTTCTTTTGATATTGATGAAGAAGTAATTTATATTTATAATTTTATAAAAAATAAAAAAAAAAAAAAAAACGCATAAAAAATTTATAAAAAAAGAAATTATAAGAAATATAATCAAATGATAACAATGAAGAAACTTAAGAAGAGAATGCAGATAATAAGGTAAATTTAGGAGTTACCCACTAGAAAGTATATATATATATATATATTTTATAAAATATTATTAAATAAAATAGATATATTTAAATGAAAATTTTCAAATTAGTTAATCTCCCTATTTTGGATTTGATCCTATCGAAAATACACTTTTTATAAAATTAATACCATAAGATATAGGTAGGTAGGAAATAAATTAAGTTATTAAAAAAATTCCTGGCTTTTAATCATTTTCAATATCAGAACCAATACCAAGTTAAGGATTTTAAAGGTTAAAAATAATATACTTATTTTTATATTTTAATAAATTAAATAAGATATGGATGGATTACATTTGAGAAATTCGAATAATTTAATGAAGCATATGAAAGATTTAAGAAAGATTGCTTAGTCATAAATAAATTTGAGTTTAATATAGTAAAAAATAATTAAAAAAGAATGATAAAAGTAGCACAAAAAGTAAATATTAAGAAATCTTAAACAGATTTTGAATATACTGTAAAACTTATCAAAGCGTTCGACTAATAAAAAGGAATTCAAAATAATTCTATTATAACAGATAAATTTTCTTTTAAAAATTTAGATACTAATTTACTTTATTTAAGAAGAGTACATTCATATTGTTATTATAGCGGAATTTAAGTAATTATAAAAATAAAATAATAATATTAAATTTTTTATTAGTGCTATGATGAAAGAGCCTTATCTAGTAAATGTGGATGCATTCATTTAAGATTAAAAAGTGATTTTAATGCAGAAGATGAAAAATGGGAATAATTGCCTAATTGGCAAAATAAAGTCTAGGAATTTGCCTAACAAAAACTTTAGGAAATTGAGCAATCTAAAGATTAATTACGAGGAAGTGCTTTATTTAATAACAAACTTGCTTCAAAAATTATATATAAAGTTTAAAAATCAATGAAAAATGAAACTGGTGCCTGGCCTTGCTTTTATTGTTAGAAAAAATTTAAAGCCTCTGATTATTTAGTAAAGCATATTGATTTAAAACATAAAGATGAGGAAAAATATTAATTTGAATTAAAAAAAGTATTATTATTATTATTTTTATTTTTTTTAATTATCTTATAAAAAAGATGAGACTTTATACTTCTTTAGAATTATATTCAAATGATAAAAATAAAATAACGCATTAACCTACTTTATCAAAAGATGGATAATATTTTTAAAGTTTTATGAATAAAAGCAAAAAGTATAATGATTACAATAGAGATAAAAAAACTTACTATAAAAAAAACAATTAGCATTAATTTAAAGATCTAGACGAGCCTGAAGCTAATACAGAAAATTAGTAAAATACAAATGTAAAAAGCACAATTAATTATTTAGATATTTGAAAGTTGAGAATAGAATAATTGAAAAAAAAAAAAAAAAATTATATAAATTAAAAAATTATTATTTCAAATTATAAAAATAAATAAAATTCATTATAATTGGTAATAAATAGTTAATTATTTTATATAATATTTTAGATAATTTTTAAAAAAATTTAATTTTAATTATTTCTTTTTTTAATAAGTTTTATTTTAAATTTTAAAATATAATTAACATATTTTTATTATTTTATTCTATCTAAATTTATTATATGTCATTTTTTTTAAATTAAAATAATTTTATTTTAATAATATTAAAAAAATTATATACATTTTAATTTTAAAAAATAAAAATATTATCACTAATGAATTTAAAATGTTGTAAAAAAAATTATTCTTAAAAATTTTAATTTACAAAATAATAATAAAAAAAAGATGTAAATAATAAAACTCAAAATTTTTTATTATTATTTATTATGAAAGAAAAATCATTTTTTATTTAATTACAATATGTAAATCGCTAACAGACTAATACATGATTATTATGATAATATATGAAATACTTAAACTGTTATTATAAGTTAAAATCTATTTAAAATGAAGATTATAAAAATTAACACAACTCTTAATCAAGTTTTATATGTCCCCTAAAATGATATTTGATCTAAATAATAACTAAAAGTTTAAACATAAAAAACTACTTGACTAATAAGTAGATTAATAAAATTAATTATATTTTATGCTATTATAAAAATAAAAAAATTTAGAAACTAAAAAATCAAAAACTATTTTTTATTTATTCCTAAAATAATATATATATTTGTTATAAAAATTAAGTTAAATTTTTAATTTTAAATAGTAAAAATAGATAAAATATAATATTATTTTATATACTATAATAAAATAAATATTTTAATATACTTATGTTAATATGATAATTATTAAGAATTAAATTTTTAATTATAAATAATATTATAATTCTATATTTATTTCTTATATTCATTTTACTTTATTAGAAAAAGGAGATATTCTTAACATATTATAATATTCATTTGCATATTCAGTTTCGTTACAAGTTTTTTTGGGATAATTAAATTAATTTTAATTTCTTTAAGGGCTTAAGCTTCTAGCATACTAGTATTAAACAATAAAATAAATAAATTAAGTTATAAATATATATATATATATATATATATATATTATATAAATACAATATTTTTTATATTAATAATTATATTTTTAAATTATATTCTTATATTTAATTTTATAATTACCTTATTATACCATCCTAAGTCTTAATTTGATGTTTATGGAAATTTGTATTTTTAAGTTGGAGTTTAACCAATATGGGATAACTTTGTTAATATTTCCTCTAGTTATAAATATGAAATAATTAAATTTTTGCAATGCAAATTTATAGTTTACAAAATAAATATATTATTTATTATATATCATTTTTAATTTTATTTTACAGTTTAATTCTGGCGACTTATTAGTTTCCATTCCTTCAGGTAGTTTAGTAAAATCTAAAAAAGGGTTTTTAGTTCCAGAATTTTTCATTTATTATTAGACAAAAATATTATTATTTGGCTTATCTGAATATAAGAAAACTATTTATATTTAGTTAAAAATAAATATTTTTATATAATATTACTTTTTCTTGGATTTATTGAAAAATGCATATATATTTATTGCTTAGATCTTTCTTTTAATATAACTTCGTTCCATGTTCTCATTTCCTTTATATATATATATATATAATATTTTTATTATAAATATTTATTTAATAAGTTTACAGCGACTGGGCTTTTATCTCTTACTCTTTTATCTTGTTTATCAGCCATTAATTTTTATATTTAATTATTATTAATTATTATTTTTATTTATTAATTAATTTATTTATTATAAGAAATAAAAATTAGTTATTTTGGCAATTTTTATATATAAATAATATTTTAAATTAGTTGACATAAATAAAATTAAAAAATACTGAAAAATAATAATAAAAAAAAATAATATTTTTTTGTTCTGAATAAACAATATTTTATAATATAAAAATCATTTTTTATTATTTTAAAAGTATGATTCTTTAGCTAGTTTAAATATTTCTTAAGAATTTTTTTCACCTGTATGTAGAACCATTTAAGCAAAGCTACTATTAGTATTAGTAATAGTTTCATCAATATCATTCCAAACCAATAACTTAAAGGGATTTCCAATTTCGCTGACCAGGCCATTATCTAAAACAATAACTTTATCATAATCAGCAATTGTATTAAGTCTATGTGCAATAGTAATAATAGTGCATTGTTTGAAATTTTGCTTTATCAATTATTAAATAAATTAATCAGTTTCCATATCAACATTAGCAGTAGCTTCATCTAAAACTTTTATATTTTTTTAAAAAAAATGATTTCATAATAATTTTTTTAAAATAGATTAAAAAACCTATTAGTTTATTATTTCTTAACATAACTCTAGCTAAACAAACGAGTTATTTTTATCCTTAAGAAAAAACAGATTAAGAGTTGCTCATATCAGTATTAATTCCAAGAGGTAGCTTACTAATAGTATCATAAAGTCCTGTATCTTTAAGTACTTTATGGATTTAATCGTCACTTTTTCCTCTAAAGGATCAATTATTTTTTTTTATAGATCCACAAAAAACGAATGGATTTTAAGGAATAATTCCAATATTTCTTCTTAATGCTAAAAGCCCTAAATCTTTTGTATTAATTCCATCATAAATAATTTTTCCTTAATTAATTTCAATCATTCTAAATAAGGCCTAAATAATAGATGATTTTCCAGCCCCAGTTCTTCCTACTATTGCTACTCTTTCGTTTTCTAACACTTTAAAAGAAATTCCTTTCAAAATGTAATCTTCATTTTCTTATTTGTATTTCATTTTTACATCTGAAAATTCCAATTCTCCTTTAGAAGGCCAAATTTATTAATTTATGTTTATTTATATAAATGAATTGCTAATATTAATATTAGTATTATTAGTATTATTATTATTATTATTATTATTAAAATTAATATTAGTATTAGTATTATTATTATTATTAGTATTATTATTATCATTATTATTAGATTTATTATAATTAGTTAATTATTAATTTGTTAATTTTGAATCTATAGGTTTTATATCTAAATCCTCATGTTCTAATTTACTATTGAAAGTCCTCTTTCTACACTAGCCATAAATGTATCAACATTTATTATCGCCCTGAGCGTTATATGTAAAGAATTTGTAAGTAAATAAAAAATATTAATGCTCTACCAAAATCTTATTTGTTTTCTGATTATTTTAATAATATTATCATGTCTATTCCTATTGTTGATACTAAAAGCGACATATATTGTAAATATACACTAAATAAACGAGACATATACCAAAATATGTCATACGACCGAATATTATTATTCATTAATGTATGCATTTTTTTCTAAAATTCTTCCTTTTATCCATAAATCCTTAAAATTAATAATCCATTCAAACTACTATTAAAAAATTAAAATACAGGTCCTTTATTTTCTAAATCTAATTGCTTAGCTCTCATTAGTATTGGTTTTGTATAAATTGTCCATTTGTAGAAATAATACATTTGAATCGAAGCAGGTATTATATAAAACTTTTATTTATATTTATTTAAATAAATGAAATATAATTTACTTGATTATATAAAATTAAAGATAAGCATAAGTTAACAAAATAAAATAATCCTTCAACTGCTATAGTAGCTGTTTCAGGTAGAGATTTATCTAAAATAGAAATATCATTAGAAAATTTATTAATGATAGTGCCAGAAGGTAACTCATCAAAAATAATAGGCTTAGTTTATGATAATGATTAAACCATACTATTCGATAAGTTTCTATTACAATTTAATATAAAGCTAGTAGCAGAAATGTTTTGGGCAAATTTAGAGCTAAAATATGCTATTAATAGAGAAAAGGAAACAAGATAAAATTTCCATTTACTTTATGCTATTTCATAAAAAGATAGATTTTTGTAAAAATTAGTAAATAATACTTAAGTTAAAATAAATAATCCGAAAACGAAAATAAAACTACAACAATAACTATTATATTTGAAGTATTTTATATATGTTCTATAATCTACACTATACTATTCTTATTATTTTATGTTTTTCTCAATTTATTAATTATATTCCTGATATAAATAAATAATATTTATTTAAAAAATAAAAAAAATACTTTCGATTATTATTTTTATAATTCGATACTTTATTATAAAGTAAAGTCTATTTCCTAATAAGCTGATTATTTAATTTAATTACTTTTCTGATCACTTTCAGTTTAGATATATTTATCGAGATTAATTTCATTTAAATCAACTTCCTTAAGGCTTCCCTATAAAGCTATTTTTCCTTCATTATTAAGAACTACAATATCATCACACTAAGTAGCATAATTAAGTTAATGTGTAATAAGTAACACGCCTTTTTTTCTCAATAGTCCTTTAATAACATTATTAAAAAGCATCTATGCTACTCTAGAATCAACAGCAGAAAGCGGATCATCTAATAAATATAAGTCATTATCTGCATAAACAGCTCTAGCTAAAGAAATTCTAACTTTTTATCCGCCACTTAAATTAACACCTTTTTCCCCAACAACTGTCATATCTTATAAAGGTAAATTTTAAAAATCTTACATCAAGCAACATGCTTCTATAATTTTTAAATATTAGCTTTTTTAATAATATTTTCCAAACAAGATATTGTCTCTTATTGTGCCTTCTAATATATAAGGTTCCTATTCTACATAAGAAATACTTTTTGTGCAAAAAAAGGATCCTTTATATCTTGGAATTTCCTATAATAAAGAATAAAAAAGTGATGTTTTTCCACTTCATATAGCCCCAACAATTGATGTTAAAGTCCCTTTTCTTATCTAAAGATTTATATTTTGCAATACAGGACTGTTATTCTCCCAATCCTCGCTCCAATATGAACAAAAGCTTTTTAAATAAACTAATGTAGAAGTATTTTCGGTTAATTAAGTGTCAAATTCTTATTCTTTTTATTCTTAGGAAATAGATTGCATTTAAATGTTTTGAATGCAAATAATATTCATATACCTTTACAATAGAATTTTGAAGTCATAAAAAAAATTCATACCAAATCCACACCCTTTAACAATTGTATTAGAAATATAAGTAATCAATTCCATAGTGGATAAAATTACAGACATATTTAAATAATTATTATCAAAAACATCTACAATGGCAAAACAGAAAATTGCAATAAAAAGTGGACCTACTAAAGAAACTGAACTTTCAATATAAATGATTCCCTAAGAAATTAAAGCATATTTAATTTCTTCTTTTCTTAATTTATTTATTATTTAATTAAATGCACTGGTCCATCCACACATTTTAATTATTCGAATGCCGTCTACTATTTCTGAAAAAAATTTTATTTTCTTATCACTTTATAAAGCACGTTTTTTTGTATATTCAGCAGCTTTTTTTGCTATTTATTTTTGTATTGGAAATAGGCCTGCGAGTAAAATTATGGCTAAAATTCCTGCATAACCTAACCTATTCCATAAAATAAAGCATGTAAGAGACAATGTAATAGGAGAAATATATAAATGAAAAACATATACACCATTGGTTTCAAAAACATTAAAATCAGAAGATATTAGATTTATTATTTTACCCTCGCTTGCTTATTTAACAGAAAAAACGCTTAAACTACTAACTTTCTCATATAATAAATTAACTAATCCAAGCCTAAATTTAGAAACTAATCTATGACCTTTCGTCCAGCCATTTTAACCACAGGTAGTGGCTAAAAAATTACATAATATCAGTAAGAAACTCCATTTGAAAGCTTCAAAATATTAATTTTATGTGACTAAATCAATTAATTATCCTATACTTATTGTTCCTATGATTTTTAAACTCATTTCTAAAAATATATAAATAAAAATTGGTATCACATCCCATTTAAAAGATTATGCTATTATTTATAAAAACTAATGAGGGCTTATTGTTTCATTTATGTTTTATAATTTCTCTTTTAGTATTTGGGATGTGTGTTGTACTTTATGGCTTTCATCTATTTAAGGAAGATCATCTACCTCTATTTTAGATAATTCCTTTAGACGTAACAACATATTGTATAAATTTAGAAAAAAAAAACGATATATGTAATTATATCCTTATGAATATGTATTTGGTCTGATTTTTTTTATAGGTATTAAATTCTGTTTATTAGATGTAGAAAAACTTAAGATTTCTGATTATTAATTTAGATCTTGTGATTATATTTTTTATAGATAATCATCATTTTATTAAATCTAGTTTTATATCATTATATTTTTTTATTTTTTTATATTTCTATTTTTATTGAATTTTATTTTTTTGATGTTAATTAATAAATATATTTATACTATATAAGAACATTTTTATAACATATAAATTATTTTTTTCTTATCTAAAGAATATAATATTCAAATATTTATAATTGATATTTGATTATTTAATACTTTTTATTTGATTTATTAAGTAAATTTTAATAGTCAGTAAATTTGTTAACTTTATTTTATTTATACGAAAATAACTTTTTTTAAAGAAAATAAAATTTATAATTTCAAAATTTTAATAGAAATAAAAAATATTAATCAATCTATTATAAAATTAGATTTAAAATAAAATATAATTAATTTATTTTATTTAATAATAATATTTTTATTTTTTATAAATAAATTCTATTTTTTTAATGTATTATTTTATATTTATTATTTAAATTTATAAAAATTATTTATTATGATAATATTTATGTATTATAGTTTAAAATTATTTTAATGTATAATTTTTTCTCTTTAATAATATATATAATTTTTTTTTTTAATATATAAAGAAAAGAGTTAAATAATTTATAATTAAAATATAAGAAAAAATATTTATATAATATGAAAAACTCTATTTTATTTTAATACAAATTTAAAGTATAAATTAATTTTTTCAAAAAATAAGATAAAAAGGCAAATTTAAAAAAAATAATTAAGTAAAAATGGCTAAATTGTATAAATAAAATAAAAAATATATATAAATTAAATTCTAATAATAAAAAAAATAGCTTAAAATACGGAAGAGTAGTAATTCTTTTATAAGGCAGGTTTGCAGGAAAAAAAGCAGTTATTGTTAAATCACTTGAAGATGGAAATAAAGTATTCATAAAAAAAATATATGTTTATTAAAAAAAAATAAAGGATAGAAAATTCGGATTTGCATTAGTTGCTAGGGTAGAAAGAGTTCCAAGAAGAGTAACAAAAAGAATGGGACAAAAAAAAATTGAAAAAAGAACTGTGATTAAACCATTCGTTAAATATGTTAACTTAAATCACATTATGCCCACAAGGTATAAAATTAATTAATTAAAAAAATATTGTGTATTTATTTATAAAATAATATAGATACTCTGTTAAAGACTTATGTGATTTCAAAGATTTAGTCAAAGAAGATAAAATAAAATCAGGAGCAAGAAAAGAAGTAAGAGATGAATTAAAAACATAGTTCTAAGCTAGATACAGAGGATTAAATCCCGATGAAAAAAATGCTTCTCATTACAAATTCTTCTTTTCAAAATTAAGATTTTGATTTATTTTATAGCCTTTACTTTTTTTATAAATATACAAATATTTTAAAAAAATTATGTTATATTTTTTATATTCGTGTAATGAAAATTAAAATATTTAAATTTTTTTAATCATAATATCAATTTATATTTTTATATTTGTATTTTAAATAAAAAATTTTATTATGATTTTATAAAATAATAAATTTAATCAATATAATTTAAGTATATTTATATATTTATATATTTATATATTTATTATTTATATACATATTTTTCATTTTTTTTTCTTATATATTACAATATTTATTTTTATTAATTTAATTTTATTTAATTTCTTTAAAATTTTTAAAATTTTTAAAATTTTTTAAATTTTTATTAATTTTTTTTTTTTTTTAATAATCTAAATAGTTATAATATATATTTTTTTTGTTTTTTTATTTTCTAATATTAATTTATATTTTGTTAGTTATTTAAAGAATTTTCTGAAAAAAATTAAAAACTATATAAATATTAAATTCAATTTCATTATATTAAAAAAAATTAGTATATTAAATTCTATTTTTATAACTTTTGTATTTAATATTTTTTAATTTAAACTATAATTAATTATATATATTAATTTTAAATAATTAAATTATAATATTTTTTATATAAAGTTATTGACTTAATAATTATTATTGTTATTTTTTATAAAAGTCTTCTATAATTTTATTCGAGTTTCTTATTATTATACATTATATTAAACTATATATTTAATAATTAAAAAAATAAACATTTTTAATATTAAAAATATAAAATCTTATTATATAAAAAAATATTAAAATTAAAATATTATTAATAAAAAATATTATTTAATTATTTTTTTAAAAATAAAAGTATATATATATTTAATATTTATTTTATTAATAAATAAATAAAAAAACATTAAAATTTTTTTTATTAAAATAAATTAATATGAACAATAACAAAGATAACAGTTAAAATTAAACTTTAGCTGAGTTAACAAATATTAGAAATGAAATTGAAAGAATGAATAATTACTACACTAAACTTCATGAAAAGGAATAAAGCCTACGAGTAATGTTATAAAACTAATAAATTCTTTAATAAAAGCATAATTATGCTTAAAATCATTCATATTCGCCTTAACCATTATATGCGTAAATTTTAGGATAAGTAGCTCCTGAAAAAGGATCTAATTAAGCATTTTCCTATTCAAAATAAAATAATAATGAAATATAATCATAAAATAATCCGGCAAGTTAAACAAATGAAGAAATTAAAGACTAATCAAATAATAATTTAAGTAATAATAATTAATCAAGTTGTGTAAATAACAATAATTTGAATCCAAACATTAATAAGAATGTTCGTGGAGTTTAATAACATGAACAACCTTCTGAAAAAAATCAAATGATTATTAATTAATAAATACGTTAAAATGAACTCAATTAGCATTATAATACAATAGAACAAGACGAATTATTAGTAAATAATAATCAAAATAATCCTTAACATATTCCTTAATAATAATAATCTTTGTAAACATTTGGATTAAATAATTAGAATTCGGATGATTTTTAAAATCAATAAAATATGTAATATGCTTAATAATAAAATATGATGTTAATATAAAACTAATAAGATTAAAATTATTAATAGCATGTTTCTAAAAAGCCTTCAGTAGTTCCCGATTAATTCGGTTTTGTGCAAAATAATGGCAATAATCTTAATAATAATTTTGTATTCGAAAATTATATTTAAAATAATTAATAATATGGGGTTGGTAATAATAATATGAATAATATTCCTGAAGCATAAATTGTATTTATTTTGAATTAATTAGTATAAACTCCATAAAATAAAGAAATTTTTAAAAAATAATTATTATAAAATGTATAAATACGATAAATTTTAGAAGAAATTAAAAAAGAATAGGAAAAAAAATAAAAGGAAGTAGCATAAAAAATTTTCTTTGAAAAATAAAAATTAGAAACTAATTAAGTTGTTTAATAAAAAGAAGAAGAAATAAAATAATTGAAAAACACAAATAATTTAATTAAATCTAAAATTAAAGATTTATAAGATGAAGTTGAATTATGGAAAGCTAAAGCAGTTGCATTAAATAAAAATAATTAAGTATTTTAAATATAATAAAAATATATATATAAATACATTAATATTAAATATTATAAATAAGAATTAAAAAATTTTTTATTAATTAATCTCAATCAATCAAACATTCATTTATAAATTAAAAAATAAAAAATATAGGATGGAACATATGCTTAACTTATTTATGACTAAGAGTTAAAAAAGCTTTCATTAGTTATTTTGAATTAATAAAAAGAAATAGAAGAGTTGAAATAAAAAGCATTAGATAGAGGAATTATAAATGTTAATAACCCAGATCAATCAAATTTTTAAAATGGTAGTGAAAAAATAACTTAATAAAGAGTATTTTTATTATATGCTGAAATCGAAAGATTAAGATCTTTAGTAAATAAATATAAGGAAATTTAACCTTAAGATGAATTAAATATATCATCAATAAATTAAAAAAAAAAGCAAATTTTCTAATAATCATCAAATACATTTAGCAATGTAGCAATAAATAATAATAACAATATTTCACAATCATAGGACATATAAAAATTTACGACGAATGTTAGAACAAAAGATATAAGAAATCGATGAATGGTAAATGAAATTTGCAAAACTAGCATAATAAGCATAAGAAAGAGACTAATTAGAACAGGAGGTTATTAGATTAAAATAAGCTTTAGAAGAAACTTTATTAGGAAATTCAATGCAAAGGAATTAAAATTAAGTATTTTAATTTTATTTTATTTTTTTATAATAATTATAAGAATTATCATGAAAGTGAACGTGTTTAAATTCTATAAAATGAAATATAAAAGCTAGCAGAAGTATTAAGAGAAAAAATAACCGAAAATGAAATTTTAAGATAAAATTAGGTTGCAATGAATTAAAGCTTGAAATTAAATGTTAATCAAGTCAATTAGTTTTAATAAGAATGTGAAAATAAAAATTAATAGTTGACAAATGAGTTAGCGAAAGTTACAGGAATTTTAAAAGAAAAATTTAAATAAAATAATGAGTTAACTTAATATATTTAATAAATTGAATAATTAAATAAATAAAAAAATCACGAAAATCAAGTTATTATGTAAAGAATGTAATAATTATAAAATACAATTTAAGGACTTTAATAATTGAACAATAAAATTGCTTAATATGAGCAAAGTTTGATGATTCTTAAGTAAGAGTTAGAAAAAAATTAGAATGTTTTAAAAGATAAAATTAAAGAAAATGAAATTCTTAAATAAAATATTCAGAGATTACAATAACTTTAAAATTAAAAGGGGTTTATTTTTTTTGTTATTTTTTTTATTTAAATATATTTTTTTTTTGTTTAAAAAGAACTTTTTGAATAAGAATTAAGGAAATTCTAATAAGCTTTTGAAATTAAAAATAAAGAATGTGAGGATTGGAAAAATAGATGTAAATAAATAGAATAAAAATTAGCTTAAGCATCTTAAATTGAAGCTAGAGCTAAAGATTCTGAAGTTAAATTAAGAAATCTTATTTAAGAAATATCTCTTTTACCATAAAAACTTAAATTTTGAAAATTTTTTAAATATATATTTTTTTGATTCAGATAAAAATTTAAAAGAATATTTTTTTATATTTTTAATTATTCAAAAAATATAATATTGCAATATAAAATAAAAAAAGATATTATTTAATTGTATCAATTTTAATGATTTTTTTAAAAAAATATTATTTTGAATTTTATTCAAAAATCATTCTTAAAAATCTTAACCTTCTTCTTATTTCTATTTAACTGAGTTGCTTTAATTAGATAATTTAATTTTCTTCTTTTTTTCTTTTTATCTTGATTTTTTATTTCTTTATGTTTTTTAACAAAAGCTCTTAAAATTCCAACTTTATCATTTTTATGCTCATTAAAATTAAATCCATATTTTCTCCCGAATCTATAGAATAAAAAATATATATATATAAAAATTTATAAAAATAGAAGAAAAAAAACCTAATTTATAATAAATAATCATCCAAAGATTTTTTAGAAATCTAAACTTTATTTGCTGCTTCTTCTAAAGATAGTCTATTTTATTTCATTTCGCCTTCTTATATCGATCCATTATATAAATTTCTCCATTCTACAACTTTCTCTATAATATAACCAATTTTTCTTTCTTTAGTTCTTCTGCATTAATTTGGAACTTTTTGTTTTTCTTCTTAGTTTTTATTATTTTATTCGTAATTATTTTCCTCAAACATTACTTAATGAATTAAACTAATTTGATTTTCTTTACATTTTATTTTAAGCTAAAATTTTTAGATTTATATATTCTTTATTAAAATATATGATATTTTTTTACTTCTGTAAAGTTTTTATAGTCTTCTTGGGGAATTGTTATATTATCAGGTAGAGGATCAAATCCACAATTTATAAATATTTATGCATCTTGGCAAAAATAATAAATCATATTTTTATTTATAGGAAAACCCATTTATTTTAACTAATTTATTAATTGACAAAGTTATATTTCATTATTGTCGTTTATAAAATTATCTATATTAAATTAAGGTATTAATTCAGTTATTTTTTTTTAATTCTTTTCTATAATTACTAAAATTATGTTAATCTTTATTTATTTTAATTAGATTAATTTTCCTCTTAATATGAAAAAAAAAAAATATATTTACATGGAAATCATTAATACTATTTTCACTTTTTATTGGGTTATCTTACATTTATATTTCTTAACTACAAAAAATATTACCAATCATTTTTTTATTTTTTCTATTATTTATTTATAAATTAATTCTAATAATAAATTTATAACATATGTAAGTTTACTTTTTTGAATTATAAACATAATTAAATTAAATAAATTATTTATAGTTTGACTTTCATAATAAAAAAATATAATAATTCATTAATTTTTTATCAATAAAAATAAATATATAAATATGTACTATTTTTTTATTTTTTTTTCTAAAATGAAAAAATCAATTTATATCAACTTGTACATAAATTATTTTATATTCAATTAGTAGGGACTATATTATTATTAGGAAATTTAGATGTTTTAAAATAATTAGGATCAGAAATCTATAATGCAGCTTATTTTTATTTCAAATCATAGTTATCACTAGCAATTTCTTCATTTTGATATTCATCAAGTATTTATTATTCAGATGTTTTGAATTTCAAAGTATTTAAGCCTAACTGCGGTTATTGTTATATTTTTTTTTACTAAAATTAATATTCATTCTACCTTATTCATACTAGCTCCATCTTTCAAAACCAGCATCAATACTAATAGTAAGAGCAAGAATAAAAATATAACAAAGCCAGAAATAAGGTGTATTATAAGCATTATTAAAGGTATTATATATATCTTAACTAGAAAATACTGTACTAGCAAAAGCATGATTCATAATGAAAAATAATATACTTCCAAAAATACATAAAATACTTGCAATAGTGTGTGTATTGCTAATAAGCATAACTTTAGAATTTCCCAAAAGTACACTTGCTCCGAAAGATACAATACCTGAAATTGCAAAGAAAAATTATTTTCCTTCTAATTAAAATGACTATTCCATTATACCGAATGAAGCAATCGAACATATTAATGCATGCCAAATACCTAATAATATCCATTCCCAAAATATTTTTTAGTTAAATAAAGTTCCTTTTATTCCTTGTATGTATAAAGAAGGATTATATTATAAATAATATGCTGAAAACTCTTCATCGAAAACAGCATATACTTTAAAAAAAAATACAATATAAATATTTATATATATAATTTACTAACAATAGGTAAAGAAGTATAACACAAATTATATAATTAATAAATCCAAGGGTCATATAAAGAACTACCAGAAAATCCAGTAATAAAACCATACCACCATTAAGGCAAGACCAATATCATATTTTTATAAAAGTTATAACAAATTAACACTGTATTTCTTCTATAACATTCCCTTCCATGATTAAAAAGCAAAGGGAGTAAAATTTTGAACTCTCCAACACTAAAGTCACTCGCCCTGGCTGCTTATTAGCCTTCTTTTCCCTTAATACCTATTCCAACATGAGCAGCATTTATCATATTTACATCATTTGCCCCATCTCCAATCGCTAAAGTGGTAACTTTTTTTTAATGAGATCTAACTAATGTAACAATTTCTTATTTTTATTTAGGAGAGACTCTACAGGCTAGAACAACTTTAGAAACAGAACAAATTTAAATTAATAACTTTTAAAGTTCTTTATCAGCCATGGAATGTATTAAAGCATCCCCTGTAATTATTACTGCTATTTACAAAGTTATTTTATTTATATTTTGTTTGTTTAAATTTTTTAAATTTTATTTTTAAAATTATTCTTTTTCAGACTCTACTTCTTTATGGAAGTCTTTTAATTATTTTTCTACTTCAACTTGGTTTTAACCGTCTATTGTTAGTTATTTTAATTCCGTATTTAATAATTAACATGAAAACGCTATGCTTATAGCTGATTCTACTTTATCACCAGTTAATACCCATACCTTTTAATTATTAAGTATTTATTTTGTAATATATTTATTTTTACTTTTATTCCAGCTTGTTTCATAGATTATATTGTGCTAGCGACATCATCTTAAAGCATATCATCTATAGCAGTTGCACCTAGAAGCATTAGATTTTATTCAATTTAGTTTTAAATTTCTTCAAGTTTTTCTTACCTGTTAGTTAATAGGCATAATGCTTTATTATATTCTTCATTCCATTTCTCATAATAATCCTATGAAATAAATCTTTAAGCTAAAACTAAAGTTCTTAAACCAATTTTAGCATAACTAGAAAAATAAATTAATAAAAAATTAACAAAAAGAAAAAAATACTTATTAATATTTTATTTTGTTTAACTTATAGATAATTCATTATTATTTTTTTAATCTAATCTTGAAAAAATAATATTATCTGCACCTTTACAATAAAGAACAATTTAACCCTATTAATTCTACACAATTAAACTCATTCTTTTTCTTGAAGAATTAAATTCAAGTACATGCAAAAGTTTAAATTTATGTATTTGTTCACCTTATTTAACTTTAATAATATTTTCTTCATCAACTCCAATGTATTCGAATCCGCAAAATTTTGCAAAATTAATTAAAGCCAATTCATCAGGGGATGATGCATTAAATTAACTACCCGAAGAAGTATTTTCCACAATCACTGTATGACAGACTGATAACATTAAAATACTTTAAATAATATGTTGACTTTGGGAATCTTTACTTTCAAGGTCTTAAAATAGAGAATTATCTTTGAATTATACATTAGTTACTTATTTTAATTAATTAAGCTATTTTTAAGATAAATTATTTTTTTCTCCATATGAAATTCCGTTTATTGTAAGACATTTAAAATTCATTACATTATTTGTCAAAGTTCCTGTTTTATCAGAAAATACGTATTCTACTTATCCTAATTCTTCATTAAGGCTACTTGATTATACAGAACATTATATATCATTTACTAAGGAAAATGTTTATTAATCTTTTTAAATTATAATTCCTTAAAAAAATCTAACCATTTCTAATGTAACAATAAGACCTTTATTTTTAATTATTATTTTTTACAAAAAAGATGTTTTTATACTTTTTATATATATTTTAAATATAAATACTTATAGGAACGAAATTCGTGAAAATAAGAATCCATGTACCCCATTAAATCAAAAATAAATGAAACATGGAATTATCTAATTTATCAGTACTAGAAAGCCCTAAATAATTAATTAAATATTTTTTATTTTTCATAAACCAAATTAATGAATAAATTGAATTTCCCAAACATATTAATATCTATAATATAAATATACAAGCAATAAAAAAGTTCATCTTTCTTTCTACTTTAGATTTTTTAGGCCTTGCTTTTATTGAATTTAACATTATTTTAGTATCATTACCTGTGTAAGCAGTTATTCCTATAATGTAATGTGTATTTCGAAGTGATGAACCTCTTAAAATAAAATTATTTATATCTAATGGTACTTAAGACCCTTATTTTAAAGATTCATCTTTAAAATATTCACCTTAGAAATTATATAGGTATGGATTTGGTTTTTCTAAATTAAATTATAATTTGGCTTACAAAATTTCAATTGAACCATAATTTTATAAATCTTTATCAACTACCTTTCTTTTCAAATTCGTTTCTCCGTCAAGGTTTTTAGTTTCTATATAACAGGTACGTGCTTAGTCACTTGAAAAAAGACATATTATATCAGCTGGTATATATTCATCTTTCATTACTTTTATTATCTCCCCTACTATTAAATCCTACCAATGTATTTATATCCACGCTTCTTTACGATAAACTAATATCTATTTATTTATTATTAAATGTGTAAACATTTTTTTTGTTTACAAGTCTTTTGTTTTCTTCATCGTCTGATTTATGTCTTTTTAAATCTTCTAATAAATCTTTTAATGCAGAAATACATAATATTACAAATAAAGGAAGAAAAATAACTGGCTGTCCTTAAGAAATAGATATTTCCTATATAATTTGTAGAAAACCTATTATTAAAAAGTAAATATTTGCTAATTTCTTAAATTGTTCTTAAATGTTTTTAGGAACAAAATTTAGGTATGTATATTTCGATGTAGCTATTTTATTAGTATTATATTTTTTAGTTTCAATAATATTATTTATTATTTATCTTTCAAGCATAATATGTATAAATTTCTTAAGTAAAATACAAAAATATTTAATAAATATATTATATTAAATTTTTTTTATTCTTGTTTTTATATCAGTTTTAGTACATAAATAAAATTATTTAAAATATATAATAATTGTTTCATAAAAAAAATAATAATAAAATAAAAAAATTATTGGTTAAATTTTATTTTTTACATTTTATAACATATTTTGCATTGTTTGTAAATTGATTTATATTATTTTATAAAAAAAAAATATTGCATCGGATTAGAGAAATTAAAAATATGTATAATTAGAAACAAAAAAATATTATAATTAATTTAAAAGTACAAATTTATTTATAAAATAAATAATTCTGTTCTATTAAATTAATTAAAAATAATATATATATTATGAACTGTTTTTATATTTTTCAATATTTTTTTTTAAAAAAAACTCAATTATTATTTTTTTTCTCACATTTTTTTATTTGTTTATTGAGCTTATAAAATAATATTATAAAAAATAAAATAATAATACGAACTAAAATATAGGATTATACATTATAACTTTATTAAATAATAATATTCTTAATTATTAAAATTGGATTTATATTTTTTTAGCTTTTATGATTTTTATATTATATTTTAAAAATAAATAAAATATATTATTAAATTAAAATTTTATTTATTTTAAAATAAATAAAATTATTATAATTAATCATTATTTATTTTTTAATACAATATATAAATAAAAATCACTAATTATTTTAACATTTTAATTCTTTGATTTTATAAATAAATTTTCAATATATACTTGTTTATTTCATTATAGCCAAAAATTCTTCTTAAGATACTTATAAAAATAAAATTAGAAATATAAATAAAAATAAAATTAGAAATATAAATATAAATAAAAATAAAAATAAAAATAAAAATAAAAATAAAATTAGAAATATAAATAAAAATAAAAATAAAAATAAAAAAATTTAAATATTTTTTTTTTTAAAAAAAATTAATATTTTAAAATTAACATATTTGTTTTTCTTATAAAGTATATATTATTTTTAATTTAAATTTTATATTACTTTATCCATCTTAATCCCTATCAAATTCATCAATCATAGCTTAAAGTTCATCATCTGTTAATGTTTCTCCAAGTTCTCTTGCAACTCTTTTTAAGTTTCTTAAGCTAATTTTGCCACTATTGTCTTCATCAAATAATTTGAATGCTTTTAGTATTTCCTCTGTAGGATCTCTATCATTATATCTTTAAGTCACTTTTTTTGATTTTTAATCATTTTTTTAAACAAAAAAAATATTTACTTATTTCAACAAAATCAGCATATTAAATATGGCCAGTTTCATCCCGATCATATTCTTTTATAATTTAAAGAACTTCTTGCTTTCTTACATCAAAACCTTTAAAAAAAAATTAATTAATTTTTTTTTTTTTTTTTTTAAATAAATATTAATATTAATATATATCAACAAATGAAACTATTTGTAATTTTTGATAATTATTTAATAATTATATTTTACCTAAAGCTCTCATTATAACTTTAAGTTCATGATAATCAACTGTTCCAGTTTTTTCAGTATCAAATAAATCAAATGCTTCTTTAATTTCTTATCTTTATTCCTATTTAGATTTTTATTATAAACAATTGATAATTTAATATTAATTTTTTATTATGTTTTTTGAAAATATTTTTAAATAAAATAATAATAACTTCTGTAAGTTCTTGCTTTTGCTTTCTTTTAATTCTATTTTTATTTGGTGAATAATTCATATTATTTATATAATTATATTAAGAATATTTTTAAATATATTTAAAAATATTAATTTATGTTATAAATTTTTTTATAAATGATAATAAAAAGGAATTATAATATTTTTTGTTAATAAATTTTTAAAAATATTCAATTAAAATAATTAAAAAAAAATTAATAAGATTAAAGATGATAAAAATTGATTTAAGTTCTTTAAAATTGTAAATTAATTTAAGTAAATAATAACTCAAATAAATTATTAATTTTTTGAAAACTATTTATTTAATTTTTATATATATTAAATTATAAAAAAAATTATTAAATTTTTATTTATAATTTTTATTATTCAAGTTATTTGAAATTTATTGTATTAAAAAATTCTATCAAAATTATTAAATAAACAAATAATTTTCATATTTCATTTACAAAATCAAAGTTAATTATAAATTATTTGAATAAAATTATATTCATTTAAATATCTCATATATACTAATTTTTAATTTTTTCTGTATTTTTTTTAATATTAATTAAAAAAAAAAAAAATTACAAATAATTTTTAAATTTTAAATCTAGAATTTCATGTATTTATAAATTATAGGTTAACAAATAATATAAATATGTTGTAAAGTAGTAATATATTTTAATATTAAGAAACAATTATATGAAATTTATGATTTTTTATTGAATATAAATAATTTATAAGGAAGATAATATAAAAATTTTTATCTGTCTAAATGATTAATATTTATAATTATTTTATAAATAAAAATATTAAATACTATAAATTAATATACATAGTAAAATAAAAATAACTTAAATATAAAAGTATTTTTTTTTTATATTCATGTAATAGTATCTATGCCTAAAATATTTTACAATATTAGTATAGTCTAAAAAATGCTTTGTTTTCTATTTAATTAAATATATAAATATGTAAATATATTATAATATCATTAAAAAATATAAAATAATTTTAATTATACATAACATCAAAACTTAATATTTAATTTTGAGGGAAAATTTAGTTATTTTTAAAAACTTTAAAATAAAATTCTAAAAGCTTTTCTAAATAATATATATCTTATTAATTGCAATTTTTTATATTTTCTTAAATAAAATTTTTTGAATCTTAAATAATTTTCTATTCATTTTAAAATAAAATATTTTATTAAGAATAGGTGTGAATAGTTTAAAAATCATTTAATTAATAATTTATACAATAAGCTAAAAACTAATAATACATTTACTCAATATATAATTTATTTTATTGATTAAAATAGTAAATACGCAATGTTTATTGTTTACTTTATTTTTTATAAAAATTGATAAATACATACAATTAATCTTTTTCAAATTTTTTTATTTTTAAAATGCAATCATCAAATTTAAATTCTTAATCAAGTAAAAATAATTTTGTACAAAATATTCCATATTGTTATATATCTTTCTTATTTACAATTATTAAACTAATTTAAACACTCTATAAAATTTATAAAATTTGCTTAGAAGGATAAGTATATGTTATAATTAAGTCTAATTTATGTTCATTTCTGATTTTTTAAAATATTTTTTATAAATCCTCAAAATATTATATTTATTTTAAAATATAGCCTTTATTTATATCAAAAATTTCATTTTCATAAGCACTTTATTTAAAACTTATAAATGCTACTTTAATAAATTACTTAGTATTCAAATTTAATTATTAGTTAAATTGTATTTTCTCAATATAAAATATATTATATTAGACTATTTTAGCTGTTTCTTATGTATCATTTATTTAATTCTTTATGTACTAAACTTAAGGTTTCTAATATAAAAAAAATATATTTAGTATTTTTTAAATTAAATAAACAAATTATTATTACTTACTTCTTTAAGTTTATCTAATCTTCTATTAAATTATCAAAAACATTAATAAAAATATTGTTTTATTAATTATAATTTAATGCTTATTTATAATATTTTCTTTCAATATGAAAATTTTAAAGTAAATATTTTTACAAGATATCTATAATTTAATATTTATACAATTTTAAAATTCTATAAAATATAATTAGAGTATGTTAGTTGTATTAATTAAGCTTTTTAATTATAAATAATTTTTAAATATTTATATTCTTAGTAATTTATATTTTTAATAAATACTTATGATATTAAATACTCTAAAGATAAAATAATAAAATTACAATCATATCCACTTTTTATAGTAAAATTTAAAAATAACTTTAAAAAATAATATTTTATTGGTTAAAAATCAAATTTAATTTAATGTCTTATTAAATCTAGTATTTTATTTGTTTCTAATATTTATTTTTAATCTTCATCAATTACAATAAATAGTGCAACTTTTAAAAATTAAATTAACTAATATTATATATTAGTTTTAATAACTTTTATTCTAATTATTAATATTGCAATAAGGAGATATTAAATTTAAAAACTTTTAGAATTAGTTTAATAGCATCGTTAAAATAACAATAATTATTAAAAATATATTTTTATAAAAAATATTTATATTTTTTTAATTAAAGATATATTATTTATTTTTTTGATAAAATAAAATAAATTAACATTAAGTTTTTTTAATTTTATTATTAATATTTTTTTATGATTTGATTTTTAATAATCCATATTCATTGAATTTCAAATGTTTATTAAAACTTTAAATTATACCTAATGTCTGAATTCAGGTGTTAATAGTTTTTTATATCAGCTAGTTAAGCTTTATTAAATATAAATTGGCTTTATTCTTAAGTTTTAACATATAATTAAAATTGTTTATATCCTATTTCTAAAAAATTTTAGCTGTTTTGTTATCTCAATATTAACTTTATAGATTTAAAACATTTTAGCTTTCTTGTCTATTATATCATTTTTAAAATATGAAATTTATAATATAAACATTTTTGAAAATAATATGTTTTAATTTTTTAAAATAAATATTTTTATTAATAAAAAAAAATAGAATAAAAATTTAATTGATTATAGTTAAACTTTATATTGACTCGATTATTATAATACTTTTACGATCTTCCTTTTTCGCGTAATTCATTGTCAGTAAAATCTACATTCCACTTATTTTTTCTGCTACAAAAGGTAGACTTCAAGAAAAGAAATACATAAAACTCGGTAATAAATAAGAATGGAGAGGAATAGTTGTATTATTATATATTTAGGCTATTATTATTAAATTTTATTACTGTACCTTTATTAATATATGAATAAAAATAATTTGGGTGCACTAAATATTGTAATTATCATTGTAAAATCGGTTTAACACTATTTACGATTTTTTTTATAAAAAAAAAAATAATTAATAAAATTAAAATAAATGCCTTATGTTTCTATAATTATTTATACTTGCTATTATCTTATTAAGGAAAGTAAATTATTATTTACCAATAATTTTTTAATATCTAAATACTATAAAAATAATAGCTTTCATCATTTTATTTATAAATATTGTCACAAAAAACTTTCTTAATTTTCTACAAGATCCCTCTAATAATATCGAAAATAATATTTTAAGTTGAATGGATATTCTTCAATATAAAGCTGAAAATTTATTATTTAAAATTTAAGATGACAAATAAATTTTATTAAAAGAGTTGATTAAAATTTTATATATTTCCTAATTATATTTATATAAATAATCATTTCTATAAATTAATAAATAATTAAAATTAAAAAAAATGAAAATGTAAATTATAAAAAAATAATTATTTTATTTAGAATAATCGTTCTAATACTTATAAAAATTTTATAAATTCTAAATACATTTATAAAACAATAAAATTACATTCATCTATTCATGACTTCTTCTTAATATATCACTTCAATCTAAAAAGAAATACTATCTATAAATTCTCCTTATAATAAGTGTTTAATATTTTAGGATTTCTGCTACTTCGAAAATTCTAAGCAAATAAAAGTATTGCACTTAAAGTATAATGATAATTTATAAAAATTCAATTATCATTTATTAAAAACTTATATATATGTATAAAATTAGTCTATAAAGATTATTTAATTTTGTTTAATTACTTCATTATCTATATAATGCTTGTTCTTAACGTTTGCTTTATTTTATCTCTAATTATTTTTAAGATCTCAAATAATAAAAATATAGGTCATTGTACCATTTTTCTTTGTTGAATGTGTTTTTTAAAAAAATAGTAAATGTAAGGAAAAATAATATATATTAATTAAATAAATACTAAAGAAATTTTTCATTATTTATATATTTTTATATTAATTTGTATTTTATTTTTTTGTTTTAAAAGTGTTAAAATGATAATTATATTTATGCAAAATTTTAAACTCATTTTATAAATTAAATATTAAACCTAATAACTTTTTGTAATTTTAAATTAATATTTATTAACTATTCCTTCTTCTTGTAAATCATTTATTAATTATACTAAATAATTTTTTTCATCTTAATAAGATTGTATTTATTAATAATTATATTTAAATTAAAATATAATTTAATTTTTAAAGCATGTTTTCCATATGATGAATTACTCCAATAAATATTTATGATGAGCAAGTTTAACTTACTTTACTTATCTATTATTTAACGGGTCATTGAATACTATCCTCCATAATATTAAAAAGTTTGATTTATTTTAATATTCGTTTTTTTTTGTTTAATTATAAATTTACATATATTAAAAAGACAATGAAAACGAATTATTTATTATGTAAATTAATTTTGATAAAAAATAAAATCAATATTATAATTTAATTAAATTTTTAATAACATAAAAATTATTAATAAGTAATAATTTTCAGAAACTTTTATTTTTTAATTAACATATCTTATTTTATTATTTTGAAAAATAAAATATAATTTCATTTTAATTATAAATTTTTACTTTTGCCCCTTTTTGAATATATATAAATAAGTAAATTTTATCTTTTATATAAAAATATTGTTTTTAAATGAAATTATCATATAAATACTAAAATTTAATAAATACAAATTAAGAAATTAGTAAATGTATATTAGAAGAAA